CATTTATTAGCAATAGGAGAGGGAAACAAAAAAGGAAAAAATTTCAAAAAAAAAGGAGAAAGATCCAGGAGAGTAAGGGTTAAGTTTTTTTCTCGAGGATGGCGCAAATTCAGGTTCAGCAACAGGCGCTTGTTTCCGGTCCAAACGGCGTCGCTCCGGGAGCTGGTGGAGCGCAATTCATGCTCACGTCTCTCTATGTCGGGGATCTTGATGTTACTGTTACCGATGAGCAGCTTTACCAACTGTTTAGCCAGGTGGCTCCGGTTGCCTCAGTGAGGGTTTGCCGGGACTTGGCCACAGGCCGCTCTCTTGGCTATGGCTATGTCAATTATAACAACCTTCGTGATGGTTAGACTTCTATTTCACTTTTAAAGATTTATCCTTTATTCAGTGATTTAATATCTAAGGATGCTTGGAGTAATTAGTTTGATTGCGAATTCTTCTATAATATGAACATAAATTATTGAATTTTGACAAGTTTTATGAATATTTGGTTATTCCATAACCTTCGATGTATTAAAATTTGTTATATTGAAAGGATCCGCTCTCTAGACATTGTAAGGATTATTTATTCATTACTTTAACAAAGCTTTCCTCGTAATACATTGATATTGGATTCAAAAAAATTCCTGCATTTATGACATTTCGACTGCTGATTGCATCACTAAATTAATCTAATTGCGGATTTTATCTTTGTATTGTTGTATCAATGCAATTTGCTGATTTCCACTTGTAATTGGTAATGTCTTCAGTAAGTGTGAATATAATTGAAGTTGAAGTACTGACTTTTTTATCTCTTCTGCCTAGCATTTCATTGAGTTGCTCGAGCACTTTAAAAAATAAAAGAAGCTTCATGAGCTTTTTTAAGTTCATGTTTTAGATAATTATCATATAGGGAATATGTTCTTTCTTTTGAATTCTTCAAGTTAGTTGATGGTGCCTTTTTGTTATTATTTCCTGCAGCGGCTAGGGCAATGGATCTACTGAATTTTACTCCGCTGAATAATAAGTCCATCCGTATCATGTATTCTCAGCGTGATCCTAGTCTACGTAAGACTGGCACTGCAAACATATTTATCAAGGTATTAGTGTGTTTTCAACGTCCAACCTCTCCCCCCCTTCCCCTTTCTTCCACTGCTATTTCACTCTTACTGATTTTTCTCTTCTTAAATCACAAGAATGATAAATTTGGCTGTATGTTACGGTGTCTTTTAGAGGTGTTGGTCCTTCCTGTGTATACTCTCGCCCTGCATGCTAAACTTTCATGCAAATACATTTTCAAATGATCATTTCTTTGACTTTCCTTGGTCTTTTTGCTGCAATTATTTACAACATGCATAATTTCTCTGTTGAAAAATGATATGATTGGCTTTTTATATTTACCTATACCTTTGTTTTTTGGTTTGATTGCAGAATCTGGACAAGTCTATCGATCACAAAGCATTACATGATACATTTACTTCATTTGGCAACATTCTTTCATGCAAGATATCTACTGATAGTTTTGGCCAGTCTAAAGGCTATGGTTTTGTACAATTTGACAATGAAGAATCTGCTCAAAATGCGATCGACCAATTAAATGGCATGTTGATTAATGAGAAGCAGGTCTATGTTGGACGTTTCCTTAGAAAGCAGGAAAGAGAGACTGCATTGAATAAGGCCAAATTCAATAATGTTTATGTTAAAAATCTTTCCAAGTCTACAACAGATGAAGACCTGAAAACAATTTTTGGAGAGTACGGTGAAATTACTAGTGCTGTAGTTATGAGGGATGCAGATGGGAAATCGAAGTGTTTTGGATTTGTCAACTTTGACAATGCTGATGATGCTGCTAAAGCTGTTGAAGCTCTTAATGGAAAGAAATTTGAAGACAAAGAGTGGTATGTTGGAAAAGCCCAGAAAAAATCTGAAAGAGAGCATGAACTAAAAGCCCAATTTGAGCAAACTATGAAGGAAGCTGCAGATAAATCTCAGGGTGCAAATTTATACATTAAGAACTTAGATGATAGTATTGGTGATGAAATGTTGAAGGAACTTTTTTCTGAGTTTGGAACCATTACTTCATGCAAGGTTTGAAATGCTTCTAGATTGTTTGATTGTTGATGCTAACTATTGTAACCTTGTTTCTCTTGATATATGTCATTGCCCTTTTGTCCCACAAAATTTTACAGGTTATGCGTGACCCTAGTGGAATTAGTAAGGGCTCTGGGTTTGTTGCATTTTTTACTCCTGAAGAAGCTTCTCGTGCTGTAAGTTCGAATTCTTTTTCTATTTGGTTGGTCATCCCAAGCATGGTATCGTAATCTAAAACATGTTTCTATCCATCTACAGCTTGCTGAGATGAATGGTAAAATGGTTGTTAGCAAACCACTTTATGTTGCAGTGGCACAAAGGAAAGAAGAGAGAAGAGCCAGGCTACAGGTAATATGAGCAAGAATAATTTCTTAGACTATACAATTTTTTTTTGGTGTTATTTGTGCATACTTCCATTTTGACATTTTTTAAGGGACAAGTATTTTGATACTTCTGAAATTCTTGTCAAATTCATGTTCTCAACCATCAAAAATTGTTTCTAATAGTTCTATGAATCAATTTGAATTTCAATTGCCATTTTCTCACATATGTCTATCATTTCAGGCTCAGTTTTCTCAAATGAGACCGCTTATCCCTTCAGTTGCTCCTCGTATGCCAATGTACCCTCCTGGTGCTCCAGGGCTTGGCCAACAATTTTTATATGGTCAAGCGCCTCCTGCCATGCTTCCTCCTCAAGTAATATATCTTTAGTCCTTGTCAATTTTCTTTACTTGACATGATTGTTCCTTCAGATGATTGGATGATTTGTTAGTATTATTTGCTACCTCTATTGGGTTTCAATAATGTAACAAAGTTTGATAGGGGAGATTTGAACGTGAAATTGCTTGTTTCTTATGTTACCTATTCTAGGCTAGTTTTGGTTATCAGCAGCAACTGCTTCCCGGAATGAGGCCTGGTGGCCCTCCTGTACCGAACTTCTTTGTTCCCATGGTACAGCAGGGTCAGCAGGGCCAGCGCCCAGGTGGACGACGAGGAGCTGGTTCTGTCCCACAGAACCAGCAACCAATGCCATTGATGCAGCAGCAGGTTAGCCGTATACATGTGTAGTAGCACATATCTTATGCTTTGGCTTTTTTGTTCTGATTTTTCCAAAATGTTCCAGATGATGCCCAGGGGGCGTGCCTATCGCTATCCCCCTGGTCGTAACATGCCTGAAGTTCCGCTGTCTAATGTTGGTGGAGGCATGCTTTCTGTTCCATATGACATGGGTGGCATGCCCTTGAGAGATGCTGGCATCGGACAGCATATGCCAATTCCAGCTTTGGCTACAGCTCTTGCTAATGCGACACCTGAACAGCAAAGGACGGTGAGCCCTGTTGTTTTCTTTGACAGTTGGGATTGACTTCGGATTATTTATTTAGCTTAAAGATCTGTGTTGAGCAGATGCTTGGTGAAAGCTTGTACCCTCTTGTTGAACGGCTGGAGCGTGATGCAGCAGCCAAGGTTACAGGCATGCTTCTGGAGATGGACCAAACTGAGGTTTTGCATCTCCTTGAATCCCCAGAAGCCTTGAAGGCGAAAGTAGCTGAAGCCATGGAGGTGTTGAGGAGTGTTGCTGCCCAGCAGCAGGCCAACAGTCCAGCTGACCAATTGGCTTCACTATCCCTGAACGATAACCTCGTTTCTTGAATGACTGGAATTCGGGTCTAGTTTCTTGGTAGAGACGTGGCTTGACCTTTTTATCAGAACTGGGCTATCTTAGTTTATTAGGGTCGAAGTTTGGAACTTTTATCTATGCTTTGTTTTTGTCAGTTATTAGGGTTTCTGATACTTTCTAGACATGGTTTGTTTTGGTTTGGCTTTAAGGTTTTTCTATTTACTGGCATGTTATGGATACTTTTAAGTTTGTTTGATGCATTAAAATTTGCTTTTAGACCAAATCTTGTGGTTATTAATTTTGACCTGTCTAAGGGTCAAGCTATCCCTCAATCTCGGTAAGCTTGTTTTGTTTTTGTTGCTTTTTATAAGCTTGACAATGTTTTTGATTCGGTTGGTTTGGATGGAGTTTATTGTGGCCTGACCTGGATTATAAACATCTCTGATTCTTGTCTTTCGAGTTGTTTCCATATGTTTTGGTCAGATTTAAATCCAATTTTACGAAGAAAGAGTACGTGTATACTATCCATGGTGTCCATGAATCTACCTTCTTTTTGCAGTTGTCACTTCAGAACTCAAAGATTCAAACTTCTTTTTGAGTTGGCAAAAAGTATTTATTTTTATAGTAACATATTAAATGATGTATGTTCAAATAATTTAAATTAATATTAATAATGAGTGGATTAAATATACATAATATAAATTATAAATTATAAATGACAAAAACGAATTTATTTTTCTTTAGAATAATTAAGACTTCTCCCGGATTTCGGACAGTTGAGACATTTGTTCCTTTGTCTTTTCTCGTATGTGGTCGGTAATTAGTAATCGCTTTATCCTCAAGCCACGTGTCCAGTTGCTGAATCTGTCGGTAGCCGGGAAAATACTTGGTACACCCTTCTATTGTGGAAAAGCCGAGGAGTTTTTATTAAAATATTTCCATGTATTACCAATTTGCTCGTACTACCTGACACCTCCGCAATCTTCTTAAACTGCCAGCGAAGCGAATATTGAATCTAACGGCTGACAGGTTATATCATTTTGCTTTCAACTCACGCTAATTATTTCCATACGTTGACCAAATATTAGTCACAATCTAAATTCCCGCCGTCACCAATTTCAAATGACAGCCAATAAGATCCCTCCACGTCCATTGTACCATACCAACCGACAAATAAAAACGTGATATTTAAATAGGGAATATTAAAAACATAGATAAGGAGCACATACACATGAACCGGATACTAACGCTTTCACTTGCAAGGAAAGCTTCAGCTGCACGCAGTTGATTTTTTCTTTTTACATTCCTACAAAATCCGTAAAATCCTTTTCTAACCAAAAACCACTCCTTTTCGATTCCTGGAAAAAGAACAATTTTTCTTCTCTGATTCGGCTATTCCCAAATGTGCAACAATCAAGATTCGATTCTTCCATTGATTGATACAAGAGGAAAAGGAGGGGATTCATCGAGGACTAAATCCATACATCATATTCCGCAAGGTTGTCCATTCTACCCTTCCAAAAAGGTGCTTTTTGATTATTATCTCACCGGGAAAAACAACTCCGTCGCCCCCGATCCCGTTGATATTTGCGGCTGCGATTTGATAAGAGAGGTTAATTTGTACGATTACGAACCGTTTGATTTGCCTGATGGCACTTGCTTTGTGCACGGATATCGGGGGAGGAAAAGGCACTGGTTTTGTTATACGAAGAGTAAAGGAAGGGAGAAAATGAGGAGAAGAGCAAAGGGAGGGTTTTGGAGGAGAATAGGGAAAGATAAGGATGTGCTTGACGGTGGAAATGTAGTGTTGGGAACTAAAGCTAAATTTGTATATTATGCGGTTAATTCAGTTAAGGCAAAAGTCAGGACACCCTGGATTATGTATGAATATGCCCTGCTTCATCATCTCAAGGTAAAAAAACTAAAGTAACTTTACTTTGTTTTACTTTGCCCTTCCTTTTTTAAGAGGTTGTATGGGCTAATATTTAGGTGATTGCTTCTTGTTATTGATGTTTGGTAGGTAGTGATTAAATGAAACTGACAAATTTTGTATCTATTACAGATTTAATTGTGTCATCTCCAACAAAACCCACCCTGCTTTTGCTATGTTTTCTAATGCTTCTCTATAATGTTCTAAAGCCCCATTCCCCTGTATTATTGACCTTGGTTCTTTTCACCGCTGGGGCAAAATGATTTTCAAAACTTATTCGAAGTTTTTCCAAATTTGATTGGGCTAATTTTGGTTCTGACTTGTTTGTTTGTTTGTTAGTTTGTTGATCTTCATGGTTTTCTGAAAGGATGCATTGTTGTTCTTCTTAAATGATTTAGATGGTTCATCGTTTTAGTGAACATAACCTTGGTTTTCCGTTCAGCTGGATAAACAAATTGATGCAATGTGACACATGGGGGTTATTTGATTATTGTTTCTGCGTTTCACTATTGGATAAGAGTCTATCTGTATGTAAATTTCTTCCTAAATATTGTTGTAAAGTCTTAGTAAATCCTGACTTTTATGTGCTTACTCTTTCAAAATATGATATTTTGTTTTTGAGATATGCTATGCCAAAGATGTGAATATATTTTTAGATTAGTTTCAATGGTGGGGGAGGGTCTGGGACTCTTACTTCCATGAAATTGATGTTTGGACCATCTGCAGGCTTCTTTCGTCCTCTGCCGAGTATTTGTTGAACCTCATACGGGAAATAATGTTTCGGAGAATCTTTTTAGTTGTTCCGCAGAAGAAAGTGATTCAGCTTTTCGTCACATTGGTGTTAGGCCCAATGGATTTCTCAGACCTTGCATTCATGAAGCTGAAATCAAAGGTGGTGAATTCACTAAAGAGCTAGCTACTTCAATAGCAACTAAACCTGCTTCTCTTGCCAGTTTAGAGTTACCTTCAGGCATCCCTCCAGACCTGCCCAATGATCTGGTAACCCTTGTTTGAGCATATTTTACTTCATGGAAACTATATTACTGCCATTATTTTATGTAGATGCTTATTTTGTGCAACCAGTCATGGGTTTTAGAACATTTCTATCAATACATGCATGTATTCTAGATCTCAATTCATATCAAATAACTTGAATCTTTGGCATGCATTAACAGGTAAGCTCCCGTTCTTATCCTAACGAAAAAAAAACTGCAGAACTTTTTTTTATAACACGATTGTTTTCAAACTGGTTTTTTAATGGAAATTCATATTCAGGATCTTGAAGTAATTGTTGCCAACACAATGTTAAGCCGGTTTAAACTTTTATAAGATGATGCATTCTTTCTTCAAACTGAACGAGTTTTTCTGTACAATGGCTGTTATGCAGATGGGATCTCGACTAACCGCCAATGAATTACAGTCAATTGTAGAAGAAGATTTCATAGAATTGGAAGATCTGGTTTGATGGGTTTTTGTGATACACCATATGAAGAAAATAGGAGCAGTTGCCTTCGGAATATGAAGAGAATGGTTTATATATATATATATATATATATATTTGAGAACCTAATAGGAAACAAGAAAATTTTCAAATATGAATAGAGAGAAATCTAATGGCAGAATCACTCACCTCGTAAGGTGATTTTCTTTCCTCGTTTGCTGGTAAGCGCTTGGATCGATGACATAAGGGGAGCTTTGGTTAAATATATCTTTTTGGCCTTACCATGCAGGTTGCACTCATGTGCCTAATATCAGGAATATCACTTCAGAAGAATTTACGTTATCAAGAAGCTTTACATTACAGACGTATAAAATTATCAGATGAGTTTTTCCTTAAGCAGAATTATCAGACAAATTTCGAGATCAGGTCCTTCACCCGACTTCCATGTTCCCCTGTTTCTGCAATGATGATGGGTCGAGAAATACTTTCTACTCAATTCTCTAATGGCTTCACTTGCCATTATTTTTCTTATCCTAGCCTGTTTATGAACTTTCTCATTGCAGCAGAGGTGAAGAAAACAACTTTGGGAAACCCATTCTTTCTTTAAGCATGTTTGCTATTGGTCAGATGCTTTGAACCCACAGCCTATGGCAGATAAACCAACTCAAATTGTTTGATCTAAATAAATTGGATTGAAACTGTTGAGAATTGTTTGCAGACTGATGTTCTTTCTTTGCTTCTTGAGAGCTTGAGAACATGCTGGTGTGCTATGATAGTGGTTAATGAAGGGAAAATCATTAATGTTCATATTGTTTTCTTATTAAGTCCTTTGTGTAATTAACCGTGGTAAGAAAGTGTCATGTCTCTCATGAGGAATTTGATAAGGTGTTTGGACTCAGTTTGAGAGTTTAGGGATATACTTAATAGTAAAAAATGATAATTTTAATCCTCAATTTTTTTCTTTATCAATTTAGTCCTCATTCTCGTTTAATTAAATTTGACTGTCACTTTTTTTAAAAAAATTCTCTATCAACTTTTAAAAAATATAGTCAAACCTATCTCTCAACTTTTTAGAAAGTTAGATAATTATAAAGTAGTATATATTTTTAAAGATTTTTAATCATTTGACAATAAAAACTAGAATACTCTTACAATTTTTAATGTACAAACTTGAACGTTTAAAAATAACAATAATTCTTTTAATAATTGAAGCTTTAATTTATTAATGACGTGTACATGAAATCTCATATTATAGTTCATGTATGGGTTTTCTTTTCAAATATAAGATAAATAGTTGTATGTTAGCATGAAATATATATTAGCTTTCACGTGTGCTGTCATTTTAAAATTATTTAAAAAATTTATGAACCAAGCAATATCATTGGTTAAGAAGTTTGGTGTTATCTTTTGAGGTTTTGAGTTCAAGCACTGTAAATATTAAAGATATAAACATTCATTGTTAAATAGTTGAGAGTATTTAAATATATACTATCCCTTGTATTTACTTCAGATTTATCAAAATAATTATTAAAAAATATTAATTAATATTTTCGTTAAAAAAGTAATTGGCACTTTTGAAATGTAGACAGCTAGATTTAACTAAAACAATAAGAACCAATTTAATAAAAAAAATACAAAAATTAGTGACTAAATTTATTCTTGTGCCAAAGAATATATGTCACACTTCCAACTTTATTTGTAGAGTAGATAAAGAATGAATCAAGTTTCTGAGCATTTAGGTTTGAGTTCTACCATTATTTGTGGGTTCTTAGTATAAATTTATTCTAATTTAAATTTTGTTACGTGTAAATTCGATATGAAATTATTAGAGTTAACATTTGGATGTAGTCTAATTATGAAACCACTCATTTATGTATTATAATGGTTGGTTATAATTATATGAACATGAATATAATAATTATGAATATACTTATATATATTTTTAATTAATTTTCTATATAACTACTAGTTTAAAAAATATCTTATTGTACTATCGAGTTCTATGTAGTAAATCAAACCGTTTCTAATAAATATCGACTAAATTTAATATTTAATATTTTTTGATTAATTTATATTTAAATATAAACTAATTTATATTAAATCTAAAATCTAAAATTTAATCATATTCTATTTTGGGTTCTGCATATTTCGTCCTTTGTACTAGTTTATGTACCAAATATGTAGAAAGAAATCATCAAATAAGTCTAGAAAAGTTTAAGTACCAACTAAATAGTTAAGACTATAAAGACACTCAATGCTCATTCATTAGTTTAAGTACTAAAATAAATATATAATATAAGTTTAGGAGTTAATCATATATTCAAAACTCAAGGGTTGAATAAATAAAATAATTTAAGGATCAATTACATAACATAAATTGATTGGACAAAATATGCATAGGCCCTTTTATTTTGAATAAAGTTTTTAGCGTTGGCCTTCAACTGACCTAACTTTTACTTGAGAATTTATAGCCAAACCAACTTGCAAGCATTGTTATTTGTTTAACAAAAGCCAAATCACCACCTTCTCTCTGTCTTTTCATTTTATATTTCCTTTGTTTCAATTAGTGCCTAAATAGTAAATATCCAAACCATGATTAAATTCCAAATATACACTGTGTTGGCATCATGCAAGTTGATAGATTTTTAATTTCATTTTCATTTTTTTTTTGTCAAAAGCAAAGGCCAACATTTCTATAAATATTCGCTGGTGAAGAAGATGGGGGAATCATCAACGCTTTATCTTCTCTTCAATCAATTTTTAATTGAAAAAAAGGACTATTTTCAACGTGGCTGAATAACAACAACCCATATGTCCAAATGGACATATTTGTAGGACTAAAACGTAAATCAAAACAACCACCTTTGAATGGTTAAGGGACTAGGAGGAGAAGAAGATTCAATAGGAAAAAAATGAGAGTACAATCTAAAGTGTTTGATCATTTATATTCACTTAAAAACTATACAAAGGCCAAATTTTTATTAGTGAAAATTTGAAATCAATTTTTAGCTATAATGATAAGAATTTTATCATAAATTATCATTTTATCTTATGTTATTCTTTTGAGTATTTTATTCCATAATATTTCAATTTTGGTCAAAATAAACTTTATTAGCCGTTAATTGATTAATGATGAGATTTATAGCTATAATAGTAATATTTTTATTATAAATTATCTTTTTATCCTATGTTATTTTTTGGAGTATTTTATTTTACAATGTTTTAATTTTGGTCAAAATAAACTTTATTAGTTGAAAACTATTAATTGACTAATGATCAATACATATTATTGATGTGATATGTGTCACATCATCTAAAATAATGATATAATATGCACTATGTTATCTAAAATGAAAATATGATATATATAACGTCACTTAAGTTAAAATGAGAAATTGAACATATATAAAAATATCATTTCAATATCATATTTTAACTATCAATCAATTTCTATCTAATACGATCTATTTTAATCTTAAAGTAAACATCAAAAACTAAAATACTAAAAATAAAGAATAAATACAATATAATTTTATGTGAAAATGTTAGAGATAATTTTGTCATCATATTTTTTTAATATGGTCTACAGGTGTAGAGAAAGGTATAAATTTTGTTTTGTGTCACAAAGATGGGGTGAGAACAAGAGAGGTGTTGATGCATGTGGATGTGTAAAAGCCGTAGGGAAGGGAAGAGCAGGCGCTTGCCGTGAACAAGAGAGAGAAAGTGAAACAAAACAAAAGGGTTTTAAGTGTTTTGTGGGGCTTTGCCTACGAACCGCATTGATAGACGGGATTCTACAAATCTTAATTATTAATTTCATTTAACACACTTTAGTTTTAGAGAGAGCGAAAGAAGGAAACTTCAAAGCCATTCGGTAAGCGGCCCAACACGACCCCTTTTTTGCATAGGTGACCATTGTTGTTTTGTTAAGTTTTTATTTCTTTGTGTTTAACTCAAATTATTTTGTTAGGAAACTGCTGTTTTTGTGACCATTACTTCTGTCTTTTTTTTTTCTTTTTTCATGTAGGGTTATTTGATAAATTAAAGGTTAATGTCCTCTTATAGTCGCTCTCTTTGTTTCATTGTATGGTATTTTCGTTTCATTTTATCTCTCAAAGGCTCTCTCTCTTCCTCCCATTCCTCAAGTGGTTTTTTTTTTAGTTTTTGTCTCTCTTTCTTGGCTTGAGAAACGAGAGGAGGACAAGCCTCAAACACAGCTTTTTTTTTATCCTTTTGTGGTCTAATCCTTTTTTGTTATTGTTAATACTCTTTTCCAGATCGATCAAAGTCTTTAATTCCCTCCCGTTAGGTGAGTTTTCTGGGTTTTTTTTTGTTCTGTTTACTTTTTGCTTGATCTGTCGATGATCAGATGAGATATGGGGTATATTCTCTACGTTTTTGTTTCTCTTGAATTTTATGGTTGTTTGATTTAAAAGGGTACCCTTTTATCTTTTCAAAGCTCTGATCTTTATGGTTTTTGCTCCCAAAATCTGCATATTCTTAGAGGTATCTCCTGTTTGTGTTCAAAGGCTGCCATTTATTTTGCTATGTTTTGAGAGGTTGTTTGGTTATAGATGTTGTCTCTTGTAAAATAGCTGATTTATGAGAGACAGTGCCCCTAGCTGCCTTGTTTGACCATTAGGTTCTCCATTTCATTTTTTGTTGTGTTCGATTTAGTTGTCTCCTGGAAATTTTCTTTTCTTTTGTATGGTGAGTTTTTGTTTGGGGATGACTCTTTCTTGTTTATGCATTGATTTTTAGTTTCTTTATATGGTTTTGCCTTTTGTTCTATATGGTTAAACAAGGAAGCTTGATCCTTATTCATTGTCTGCTTTTTGTATTGGTTTATTATTGATTGATTTTATTCCCTTCAAATGTTGAAAATTCCAAATTTAGTTGCTTGGTGCCTTGTTCCTATGTATCTCCAACTCTTCTCTTGAAGGCGGCACATTCAGACATGGATTTGGAGATATGACCTTCTAAGGTTCTCCAATTATGTGGAAAAAGTTGAACATAGCTGTTCCATACCTGTGCGGGTTGCATACCCTTATCCAACACTTCCACCCGGTTATAGCAATGTTCGGGTTCTATGGTTGGCTCACCGAATTTTAGGATAGTGTTTTATTGATGTATATATGTGTTTGAATATCCGTGAGTGGATTGCATTCGAGATTACTCACATTAGTGTTGGTTACTTTACCATGCTGCAAGCAGCAAGTATTAGGCATATAATTCTCTTCTTTTATTTAGTTACACTGTTTTAACTTTTAACTCCAAACTAAAGGTTGCATGCTGAGAGATTACTTGGCTTAATTTGTTACTGCCTATTGCTCCAACTAATTACTAGTATTTGCGTATTATAGTTTCTACTCACTTTCTTTTCCTTATTTCCTCAGCTCATTGTATCCTATTATTACCACTAGATATTGGACCGTAGATGTGATGCTATTTTTTTAATGTTCATTGTTTCTTTTGTATTGGAAAGAATGTGTATGGTGTTAAATCATGCAAATTGAAGCCTTGAAGTGACATTTACATGGCAAGTCTCGTGTTAATGAGTACTTTGTTTGCATCAATTGGTTTCTTGATGTCAATGTAGGCTGACATTTATCCTATTTGAACTACTCTTTTACTGTCATGAATCTGAAATTTGATTAAAACGTTCTTGTATATCTTGTTGTGTACTTTTATACACAAGTTCTTAACTTAGAAGAATTTTTAATGCTACTGCTACACTTTCACTTTCCTGTGCCAATTATTGAGTTGCTATTTGTTTTGAAATATTCTTCAGGACTATACTATAATTTATAGGGAAGTTCAAGGTAGCCCTAATGCAGGGGCAGAAAGGTACTGTTGGTTCCATGCCTGAAACCTTCTTTGACCATGGTTCTACGTCAAGTAATGCTTCTATAGACCAGAAGGTTTGCTGGAATAATATTCGAAATCCGATAGAAAATAGACTGACTGATTGTTTGCTGTCATCGAATGACATAAACATTGGATCTATGAATTCGATTGGTCGAGAGGAGCAGGAGATGGGGAGATGGAGCTCGGCCGAGCCTAGCTCTATTGGTTCACAGAATGAGGAAAACCATAATGAATGGAAAATGGACCATGGATTATCAACTTCCACGAGTGTCTCTGCAAACGCTGGTCCAAGTTTAGAAGAGCAGTGGTATGAACCAAACTCTCTGTTTGTTCAAAGTTCCAATTATGATGCAGTTCCTCAGAATCTCAACTTAAATGCTGGCTTAGTGGGTCACAGAGATGATAATTGTCAAGCTACCGAACAGTCTAACCTATATAAGCCTAGTGGGTCCGGAAATGAGCAAATTTCACGTGGTCCTGACAGTGGTCGTACATCTTGTAAAAGAAAGGCTCTTGAAGCAAATGTTGGACATTCCTCTTCAAGCGGAAGTTCTAGCAGCCTCAATTGTGCAGATGGTAGTGCTTGGCACGGAGTTTCTGCTAGTTATAATGCAGGAAGCAGTGTGAATATATCTGCCCCCACGAGGCAAGTGCATCCTAGACTTGGATTTGATGTTAGAGGATCAGGTTCTGACAGCATTCCTGGACCGAATTTGTTGCCTACTGCAGAGGCTTCACACAGGGATTTCCGACTGAGAATAAGTCCTTTAAGTATACAAGAACCAATGACTCCAATATTTTCTTCAGGTGGTACAATCAGGCAGCCTGTTGTTTCATCTTTGCAGCAGTCATCTAGACTTCTTCCAGTCAATCATTCTCTTGACTCAAGTTCAGCACCAGTGGTAGATAATGCAACTCCTCAAAACCCAAATTCTGTAATTCATGTTCCAATTTTGGCACGAAATATGCAACCATTTAGGTGGAATGGAAGTTCTGGCTTAAGAGCTTCTAGTTCATCAAGTTCTAATGTATATGCGGATAGAGAAGCCGTACCGGATGGGGGACATCAGTCAAGAAGCATGGCTAGGAATCTGTCAGATCATCCTATGTTTGTTGCTCCGCCCGAGTTGAGAGCATTGGTTAGAAATTCAACAAATCAAGGTTTAAGCAGTGGAAATATAAATGTCCCTGTAAATGGTGCTTCTACATCTCGTGCCGGATCAAGTTCTGGTGCCAATGCCTTGCCTGCTTCTGCTTATGTCCCTCATTCCAACACCTCTTCACGATACCCGCGGAGATTGTCAGAACTTGTTCGTCGGTCATTGATATCTTCCCTTGCTGCTGAATCTGGAGGCCAGGGCAATCAATCATCACTTTCTTCGGGACCTCCTACTCCGGAACAGATGCTACTTTCCTCTGGAATAGCTAATCAGGGGCATCATCGTTCATACCCTAGGTCAGTGCCATGGTTGGAGAGACAAGATGCTGCAGATTTGCTTGGAATTCCCCATTCCTTGCGGACTTTAGCTGCTGCCACCGAGGGAAGAAGCAGGCTTGTTGTGTCTGAGGTTCGTTCCAGAACTTAATCTTTTTTGCCTTCAAATATTTTTATTATTGTGATAGTTTTCACTCCCTTACATTGTTTATGCTTGATTTGATACCAATCTAACTGTTATTGTATATTACTTACCTGCTATAAAGAGGAGTAACTTCTTTTTCCTTGCATCTTCTTGCAATGCTAATTGTCGAGAATAATAACACTCGTTTTTTCCCCTTTTCCTAGTTGCTTTTATCTGAAGACATGACATTGGTCCTCGTTATCCATAATGCTCAATTTAATCTAAAATCAATGTGTTGCACTAAAGTCTTTTGAGGTCTTCCTTTTGCCAGCAAAAGACTTATTTTATGACATTGGTTATTTTGGTCAGATTCGCAATGTCTTGGATCTCATGCGCAGGGGTGAGAACTTGCGATTTGAGGTATGTTTTTAATATTTGTGGTGTTATTCGATGCTGTTCTAACATAATCAATTCAAAGCATGAAAAAGATTCCTTTTCCTTTTATTGTTCAATTGTACCTCTGTTCCTATAGGTAGTCATTCTTTGAATTTGAGTTGCCACGGGCAAAGAATGGCCTTGTAATGCAGGGCCCAAATGTAGTTTTTGATAAGATTTATTATTGGTCCTAACCAGTGGTATGTTATCTTTCTAATTCGGCTTGGACGACAGGATGTTATGATCCTTGATCAATCAGTAGTTTCTGGGATAGCTGATATGCATGACCGGCACAGGGGCATGCGGCTTGATGTTGATAACATGTCATACGAGGTAATATCAACATTCTTGGCATCTGCAATCCTTTCTGAGCTTGAAAATTCTCACATCTGAATTGTTTTGTGGGGTAATAGGAGTTGCTAGCTTTGGAAGAGCGTATTGGTTACGTAAGCACAGGGTTGAACGAAGAAACTATATCAAACCGTCTGAAACGACGAAAGAACTCTAAAGCACTGGAATCTCAGACAGAGGCAGAGCCATGTTGTGTTTGTCAGGTAACAAATTCTCATATGTCATTTCTTCACCGATGCTATGAATCCATGAAATAATTGTCAAGAACAAACATGCAGGAGGAATATAATGAGGGAGAGGATCTCGGTACGCTCGAATGTGGCCATGATTTTCATGCTGATTGCATTAAACAGTGGTTGATGCAGAAGAACTTGTGCCCCATTTGTAAAACAACGGGTCTGACTAAATGAGATGACCCGATTATCTCGAGGCAATGGGTTGTTCATCATCGTGTTGGAGAAAGAAAAAGTCCTGTGATCGGCCTGGCTTCCATAAATCCATCAAACATGATGCCTTCCCAGTGTGCTGCCTCTATATCCGTGGCAGTTTCAGTTAAACAAAGCGATGGATGTCTGAATAACTATATTTTCCGTTTGATGATTGCAACTATTAGTTACTATGTATGAATCTTGAGCCAATTGAATTATGGAGTTTTGATTATTAAAAATCTCTGTGCTTGACATTTAACGCTCAACGGTGGGTGAAAAATAAAGAACATTTCTTTCGTTTGGAAGACAACCTTGGGAGATGATGAGTAGCGATGGATCGCTAATCTGTAGGTTGAAATATTTTAATTAAAAAATGGTAAACATTTTTAATAAAACAAAATGATAAGAGAAGGGGAAGTGTTCAATCTCATGGAAAAGAAAAATCAAATGCAGGGTTGGCTGTGAAATTGAGTGAAAGTTTTTGCAATGACTTATTCCATAACAGCAAGGACAGCCTTTAGCGAGAAGTCCAAAGATCAGGAAGCTTTCATATCCACTATATCAGAAGAAACATAAGATGCTGAAGAATGGGCAGCGCCATTAGCCTCCTGCCGGACATGGCGAACAGTGATATGAGGGCGCAAATCAAAGAGTAGGAGAGCCTCGGCAAGATAGAATCGAAGCACCGACTGATCCGTGTGTAGTTGCTCTAAGTGATGGACCACGTGCATGGAGTCGCTCTCAACCAATACTTGAAGGAACCCAATTCATACGAACCCCATAGCATAGTGCTAGCGCTTCAAGAATATCGGCCGGAGATAGGAATTGCGTTCATCAACTTAAATATCTAAAATGTGTTATAAAAGAGACCTTAAGAGAGAACCCTGCTCTTCTATTGTTTCTTCCAAGACAATGTAGCCAAAGCTGTGAGGTTAATGGATTCCAGATACCATCCAAGACCAGAGTCATGATCAACGCATGAGACGTCCAAATCTTTGGCCTGAACCTGAAAAGTTCGACTAATCGGTTCGATCTAAATTTAGTGTCTAATCCTATTAAAATCCTTAAATAAGATTAAGAGTTTGAATTCTGACATTTACGAATGAAATAAATTGAATTAATAAGTTCACCATTATAATAGGCTTCATTCAAATCTTGTAGGACCTCAGTCCACTAAGCTTAACTCCACCATTTGCCTTGCCCATTTTCTTTCTTAATGGGTACAACTTTCATCTACAATTACAATCCATCATTACAAGTTTTAACTTATTTTTTAGGAGACCAATAATTATAACGAAAATTTTAATAATCAAAATTTATTATTACTAAGCAATATTATTATATTCTATACATATTTTTTCTACTAAGGTCAACTATATTTTTAATCACTCCATTTTGATCGTTCAATTTTAAAATCTTTTAATTTAATTATTATTAAACTTTTAAATTATTCATATTTTTTTATTTAGACATTATTAAATTATAAATAATAGGAAGATATAAACGGTTTCATATTGACATGGAAGTCATATGATATCTATCTCATTTTTTTCCTTCTCTCCCCCTTACAAAGATGAGACTTTTAAGAGTTTCATCTTTATCCCACACCATCATGTACATATTGCTAGGATGAAAATATATATTTTGGATTTTAATATATTTGATAAAAAAATAAATTGTTTAATATATATATATATATATATTATGCTTAATGAAAACCTTTAAATATTTTGTGATTGGCTGTTGGGGGTGGCAAAAAAATGTACAATGTAATTTAATGACAAAGTTGATACACTTTTAAAATTTAATGCTTGAAACAACGTTATCATACTGTTTGGATTGTAATGGTTGAATGACATAATTAAAGTTAAAATCAAAATTTAATATCATAATTGAAAAAAATAAAAAGTTAAATGATATAAACAATGCACCACTTAAAATTTAGTGGCATATGGTGTAATTTATCCATATAAACTCTAAATCCTAGGCGATGGAACCTCCAATAACCCAAAGAGAGGAGGAGAGTTAGGGTTTGGTAGATTGCTTATAAAAAGAAGAGAGTTAGTTTTTGGGGGCGTAATTGACGATCAGCAAATGCTACTAATACAAACAAAATTTTCTGCTTCATCTTTTGTTTGTTTATCCTCTTTGATGATTTTTGGACCTTAAGTTTATTAATTTATAAAGTTTTCGAAACTGAAAACCTTTTCCTTTTTGCGTTTTATCTATGATTAAGGCACAGTATACAACAAACAACAAAAAGATGATTAGCTGGCTTTTATCCCCCCCCCCTTTCTGCTTTCTAAACTGATTTTCTTATCATTATCTCATTTCGTAAATATCATTTACAAATAGGTTTCTTTTTTTTACACATTTAAAGACTATTTTTTTTACATTTTTATATAAATATACGTCGGATATTAATATTTTTAAGTAAAATAAGAAAATAGAAATAACTAAGCTGGGATTAATAAAAATACGGATGAGTTTGCTGGGTTAGTATGTCGTCGTTCTGACGTGTTTGGGCCCCTCTAAGATCTTGCTGCCCAACGGTTTCCTTATTAGCCCCAACTTTACTCACATTTACACCTCTGCCATTTTACATTTTGTTCTTTTTTTTCTTGGGTAAACTACCTATTTGGTCACTCAGCTATTACTTAGTTTTTTTTTTACTCACTCAATTTTTTTTCTTTCAAAATCATGCCTAATATTACGTCTTGATTCTATTTTAATCATTCATTATTAAAAAATTAATAGTGATGTTGATATGGTGTTTTTAAAATTATTTTTTAATATATACGTGATATTATCTTATAGTAATACATTAACATTATCATTGATTTTTTTAATGATAGATGACTAAAATAGAATCAAAAAATAATATCAAATATAATTTTGAAAAAACTAAAAATTAAGTGATCAAAACAAAAACTGAGTAATAGGTTCTACATATAGTTTACCTTTTTGTGGCAGAACTTGTAAATCACCCTTAAGTTTAGGTGGAATGCAGTATCTGATGTGAAAGGATAAATACAAGGGAAAGTTGAAAATGGCAGTGATGTAAATCAAGGGAAGAGGAGGGGGAAAGTCGAAGAAGTAGAGAAATAACGGGCCCCACTGCAGAAATATATGTAATTTCTTTCTAATGAACATGAGAAATGGAAGCGGAATAACGGCATTGTCTCATGATTGTATTTTGTTTTGTTGCTTTCAAAAACTCATTCATCATCTTCTTTACCTCTTTACGCTTTTTCCCACTTCCCTTTCCTCTCCGCATTATAAATATACATGAATTCACTACCATCTCTGCAATAAAAATATCATTTCGTAATTTCATCCTAAACCCCTTTTTCTTTGGGTTCTTTTCCAGCTGAATTGGCTGCTGTTTCGTTGAAGGAAAAAATTTGGGTGATGAGACCATACGATTCAAGCTCAGATAACCCAAACATGGAAACGGAGACGGAGGCCGTTGCGGAGGAGGGTGGTCAGAAGAGAAGTGGGAAAAGAGGGTCGAAACAAGGGAATGATAATGGAGGCGGCGGCGATCACGGTGGTGGTCAGTCGGAGCATGAGATGCATATATGGACTGAGAGAGAAAGGAGGAAGAAGATGAGGAATATGTTCTCTAGTCTTCATGCTTTGCTTCCTCAACTTCCCGCTAAGGTAATTAACATATAACAAAAAAAGATGTAGGGTTTATGGTAGAAAAAGGAGGAGGAGAAGAGATTATTTGTTTTTCATGGTATCTGTATGACTGTATTCATTACCCAATCTTGAAACTGTGCTTCACTGAAAAAGAAAACATATGATTTCTGGGCATAGTATACAACTATACAGTTAACTTCAAGTCTTCAATTTACTTAAGATTCTTCCAAAAGAAACTTTCAAAGATTCTATAAGGTTTAGTATTAGCACATTTCAGTTACATTTTTTTTAACGATGTAGGGAGAGATGAAGATGTTTACGTTTACTCTTTAATCTTTCACAGGCAGACAAGTCCACCATTGTCGATGAGGCCGTTACATACATCAAAAACCTTCAGCAGAATCTCCAGACACTCGAAAAACAGAAGCTCGAGAAGCTAAGGAGTTCGACGACGGCATCATCGATAATCACATCGCAGGTGCAAGGGCCTGAGTCGAGGGAAGAATTCCTGACAGATAATCAGGGACCAACAAATGATTATCCTTTGACAATCGACATGCCTCAAACATTTCCTGCTCAAATGTCACCAGCTTGCTTTCAGACATGGTTTTCCTCGAATGTAGTCATTAGTATGTGTGGGGACGATGCACAAATCAATGTCTGTTCACCGAGGAAGCCGGGTACGTTTGCCACCATGTTGTACATACTCGAAAAGCATCGATTGGAGGTGGTTTCGGCTCAAGTCTCGTCGGATCAGTATCGGAGCATGTACATGATCCATGTCCATGTAAGTACACACTTTAAGAAAACTTGGCCTCTAAATTTTTTTACCAGATTTACGACAATGCTCATGCCATGTGGGGTTATTCTATGGATTAGGTTGGTGGAGTATCGGAACAATTTCCGGCGGCACTCTCGATAGAGGAGACGTTTAAGCTGGCTGCAGGAGAGATGAACTTGTGCCTGTTTTCGGGTTAATGATAATAGTAGAAACCCTATATAGGGTTGAAATCGTAGTCAGCGTTTTTCCTAGAGGAAGTTGATTAAAGTGACTGTCTGCCTGTGAAGCAAATCCATTGCTATGAATGTCCAAACTGAAGTTTTGACGATGTAAATGTGTAGAAGACCGAAAGCAGTATACAAGATTTGGTTTACCCAACTGTTTTATCGCCTTCATTTCTTTACCCAACGATCTAAATTTAGAAAACTCGTTTAGTGATGATAAAAAGGAATATTATTTTCTTTTAAAGGATTTGAATTTAAGCAACTCTGTTTATGGTATGTATGTGTTATCAATAATTAAAGAAAAATTATTAAAGTATAATTGTCATTACCTTAAATTATTTAAAAAAAATTAAATGAATCAAATAAAATATTATTTAATTTTATTTAAACACAATATTAAGATTCATCAATCAAATTAAATGACGCTCTTGTACATGTCATTCTATATCACTATGCTTTAATCTGGGCCAGTCAATGTTAGAAAGATGCATTTGAATAGGTTGGCTTCTGCCCTTCGTTTGC